CCCCAAAACCCCAAAACCCCAAAACCCCAAAACCCCAAAACCCCAATAACTAAATCTCTTAAATTTATATGAATAAATATTTAATATAAGGTAAGTAATGGAACTATCTTCTTGTAGGTCACTATGGGTGCTACTTGATGCAACGAATGAAAACCAGAGAATGTATCAGTAAGTTTTACCACCAAGATTAGATATAAAGGGGTGAGAAAATTGAGGTTGTCAAGATTTGTTTTAGATTTACTTATCATTTGATTAAGTCTTAGTATACAAAACCTCAACTCTTTTTCTTCAATTCCAGGAGGACTTTATCTCGATCATAATCTTTAATGTTGAGGTTAACAGTCAAGAGGTGATATATGTTCTAAAAAGAAACAGAAAGAACAATATCAAAACCTGGCGGGCAACTAATTTGATAAAAAATATGAATATTTCTAACTTTTAAACTATCTTATAATAATGTTTTAGGCTAAGAAATTTTATCCAAACAGATGGTTCAAGTCAGGCCAAGAGGAAAACTCTGAACTTATCAAAGTTCCATCTCCTGAGGATCATGGTACTATACTAGAGTTATTTCATCAGCTCAAGTATTTAGAAATATTTTCTTGAAATATTTTGGAACAATAAGTTGAAATTTCTTTAAATCTATCTTATTTTCACATCAAATATTAAGAATTTGCGTAGGAATAACTTCGAGAGAAGTCAAAGTGGACATCAACTTCAATATAATCACTAACGTTGAGAAGAAAAATGGGAAAATCAAATCAAAAATGAAGCTAGAAGATTCAAAGGGCAAATAAGGTGTCCATGAGCTCCTCCAAACCAGCCAAAGTTTATTGCAACAATGAGATAGACGAGAAGCATAAATATGATCTGAGTGAGGAGGTTAAGAGTGTCCCATCTGTGTCTTACTCCAGTGACTCTAATTCGGAGTATAATATCCACCAAGCTTCTTTACCTAAAATTAGAGTCAGCAAATGCGAAGAATTTAAGGAGACTAGACTGAAGAAAAGGTCAACCAACAAGATGAGCTTTGATCCTAAAAACCTTATTAAAGGCAAAGACTCAAGAATGGAGGACAATTATGAGTTCTGTGGCAAACTAGGCAAGGGCACTTATGGAGAAGTCCTTAAGTTAAGAGATAAGATGAGTGGAGAATTTCGCGCTTGCAAATCATTTATTAAAGCCAATTATAAATAAAGAGAAAATTTCCTTACTATATAATGAAGTAAGAATTCTTCGGATGATGGACCACCCAAATATCGTCAAAGTGTATGATTATTATGAGGATTGTGATAGGTTCCATATCATTATGGAATACTGTGAAGGTGGTGAACTCTTTGAGTATATCTCCAAGGCTGGAGTTTTTACTGAAGATATGGCATCCCACATTATGAAGCAAATTCTGTCAGCAATTGCCTATCTTCATTCGCAAAACATTCTCCACTCAGATTTAAAGGCGGAAAATATAATGCTTGTGGAGAAAAATGATGATGACTTTTTCATAAAACTAATTGATTTTGGCATGGCTACTAAGTATGAGCAAAAATAAGTCTCATATTCAGGGAACACCATATTATATAGCACCTGAAGTATTAAAGAATTGCTACGATTCTAAGGCTGATATTTGGAGCCTCGGAGTGCTAATTTATATCTTACTACTAGGAGCTCCTCCCTTTAAGGCAAGTTCGCTTAAAGAAATTTTTAAATAAAATTCTTGTTGGAAAGATTGATTTCAGCAAAGAAATTTGTGGATCACTTTCTGAAGATTCTCTTGAATTCATCAAAGAGCTACTAAAGTATGACCCAGAAGAAAGACCTTCTGCTGCAGAATGATTAAAGCTACCTTGGATAAAGAAGCATTCTCAGAAGAGGAAGGATACCAGGAAGATCTCATCCATTGCTCTAAGAAATTTGAAAAAGTTCAATTCCGAAAGAAAGTTAGAAATGGCTGTTATATCATACATTGCTAATTATGTAACTAGCGAACAAAATAACCAAGCCATGAGGGACACCTTCCAGATGCTCGACAAAGACAACGATGGTGTTCTCTCTAGACAAGAGTTACTCAATGGTTTATCAAAGGTGTTTGGCAAGCAGGCTTTCTTGCATGAGGAGATAGACCAGCTGCTTGATAACATTGACCTCAATGGAAATGGTGTTATTGATTATTCAGAATTTGTAACAGCAACATCAGACTACCAAAAGTTGTGAACTGAGAAAAATCTAAAAACAGCCTTTGATAGGTTTGACTTGGACGGAAATGGAGAGATAACTCTTGAAGAACTAAAAGAAGTGCTCTGTGGAGATGAAGACGATGAGGATATCAAAAATTTGATAAAGAAGGTTGATAAAAATGGAGATGGGCAGATTAATTTTGAAGAGTTTAAAGACATGATGCTTACATTATATAGAAGAAACTCAATGATATCTCCTGGCCTTGGAAAAGAAATGAATTCGTCCCTTGGAGTTACTGCTTTGTTAGAGAACAGAAGAGTGTCGATGTTCTAGCATTTTTATTTACGTCATTAGTACAATTTTCAAATTATCTAAATTTCCTAGGGGTTTTGGGGTTTTGGGGTTTTGGGGTTTTGGGGTTTTGGGG